TAGAGGAGAATTGACTATGAGTCTCTCATTTCCTCTTATATCACTCTCCCTCCCCCCTCTCTCTCTTAGTTACTTTTAAAATAATATCAGGTGGTATACAATGAGTTAACAGCTCATAATAACGTCCTCTTACTTCAAGTAACCTCAAAAATAAATACAATACATTTTAATTAATTTATTAAAATTGCTTTTGTGTTACAGGTGTATATACCTCTTAGGACTCTGCTCTGTGATGATCATTGTAGCTATTTAACGTAAGAAAACCTCCCACTCACAATCAGGGACAACCTGATCATCATTGAAGGGATACCTATCAAGAAGAGAAAAAGAGATAAAAAGGTGAAAGATAGAACGAAAGAGGTACATCTTAATATACAGTACATACTGTATATAGCACATTATTTTGGCAGACTTTTATTTTGACAATTTGCAAGCGGAATCGCCAATACTAAAACAGTTAATCATTAATGCACATGTACACAAAAAATTGCCAAATTAAACATTGCTAATTACAATTTTGATAGCAAATCACCAAAATAAAGAGTTGCCAAAATAAAGCACATACTTAATATCATTATAATTCACACTCAACAGATCTGATTAGGTGCATGTGTTTGTTGCATGGCCAATTAATTATTAATCACACAAGTGACATGAGGAATTTACAACAAGTTCCTCATCATTAATGATTAATTGATCATGCAGCAAACACATGCACCCAATCAGTCTATCAGATCTGTTTGGTGTCTCAATCATGATTCACTTACTGCTGAACACGGCACGCCTCACAAAGCAGTATAGCTTTACGAAGGTTTCTTTCTGACTTCTCTGCAATCCTCTTGGCTAGTGTATCTGGTATAGTCAATGATTCTTTATGACAAACATACTGTAGGACACTACATATCTACAATAATAACAATAATTTAAATACTAGAAGAATGTAAAACATCAAGGAGCTCTGCCCCATATTCACGCAATCATCATAAAATTAGGTTATCTAACTTTAATATTCAGACGACCCTAGTCACCCTACAGTCATAGGCGGTTGCAGACTTGAAATGTTGCATGGGCTGGGAATTAGAGGGGCACGCAAAGTGCGCCACAATTTTTGGCCACACCCCTTTTTACGTTAATAAAACAGCATTTTCCTTCATTTTCATGAATTACGAGTGTGGTCAAGATAGTTTCAAGCATACTGGTACTTCTGACGACTTCTCATGGCTCCTTAAAGCACTGAAAACTGCTGAGATCATAATCAGGGGGCTAGATAACTTTGTTAAGAGGCTTGGTAGTGATACAAGAGTCCAGGAGTTGAGTAATTTGACAACTTGAGTAATTGAGCAACCAAAATTAACCTGGGCACA